TGGTTTGCTGTGGAAAAATGGTTTGCCATTCCGAGTGAGTGCATGTGATGCATTTGCAGCTGCCTCTGTCACTTGAATTGGTTGATATGATGAGTTATGGTTGGACTTGAGACTGTCTAGGGCTTGATGGTGGAGAACTCTGTATGGACCATTGTGAATGTGACACAAGCAATGAAGTGACTGTTCTCAACTTTAGCCTCAGGTTCACAGCATACATAGGAAGAATTGTTTGGGCCAAACACATATAAAGAAGTCAAGGTGTAGCCAGTGAAAAGGGCCCACCTTTGTCACAGTCTCCCCTCTATGCAATAACATACCCAGAAGATTCCATTGCCATATTGTGTTATGCCCCTGTAAGGGACAGGTTAGGTTCTGCCATGACCTAAGCATGGCCAATGGATGCTGATGAAATGTTAGTGTGAGGAACCGCAGCTAAGGGAGTTAAAGACAGCAGTTAGGGAGCTGAGAGTGAGTGAAGCTGTGGAGAAGAGTAGCCTCCTTCTCCCAATGCCATAGATTATGGAGTAGCAGGGGGTAAAGAATTATGTGATGTGATAACATCACTCCAGTGAGCAACAGTTTGTGTTATGGAACAAAGTTTGTGCCCAGTGGCGCTTTTAAGACCAACAAAGTTTAATTTTGGGTATAAGCTTTCGTGTGCAGAAGGGAAATGGTGACATGGCAAAGGTCGCCATTCTCATGACTGCCATAATGTGTTGTTTGGTCTTTGATAACCATCTAGTCATGTGCTGCCCAGCAGCAGCATATGATCGTTCTACCTTGATTAATGCTTCTACTGCAAGATTCTTCAGCATTGTTTTACTGAAACTCTTCCCCGGCAGCTTTAGCTGAAATAGGACAGACAGAGTGGCGTGAATGGCTTCACTTATAGGTTTTGTTCAGCCTTACACTGTCATTTGATCCCTCTTTTTGTTCTATTGCTTCAGACCAACATGGCTGCCCACCTGGATCTATTTGATCCCTCTGCCAGTCTAATGAGCTGGGAAGAAATGTCTGCTTCTGTGTCATCCAACACCCATAAATTCAGCACCACTAGAGTCAGTGAGAAGCCACAGAGCTCCAGAAGATCAGCTTTCAGGGCTCAAAAGGGATTTGCTGCATTTCCCCAAAACATTTAAATTAACTGCTGCCAGAGTGGAAGCAGATGACACTATTTGTGATGCAGATGTTTGTTTAGGCAGCATTAAAGAATGGTTAGCATGATTTCTCCCATAGCACAATATAACTAATATCACTGTATAGCCAAGGGATGTAAAGATGAACGGGACATGGCCAGAGAATGCCATTGGGATTTAGCACAACCTTGATAGGCATGTGGTTTTAGTTGAGATACAGATCTAAATTAGCGCCTTCTGATTTCCATAATTATGACAGAGGACAGCAAGCAGAATTTCAGACAGTTTTGCAAGGCTGACGTAAGTCTTTATTGAAAAGATGGTTTAGTTAAAGAGAGAAAGAATTTCTATATTAGATGTGACTACCGTTGTGACTGTGAAGTCATTTTTGCTAGGACTCTACTAAATTTGATTGCATCAATCATTTCAACAGTTGCATTTTAGTTGAAATAAAGGCTTTTCTGTGACAGATTGTTTTTGTTTTGTTTTTTTCCTCCCACTAGGTTGGCTTCGAGCACCAATTTTTCTAATCAAGCAGAAAGGTACAGTGCAATCAAAGCAAAGTATTTGTTTTTTTAAAAAAAACATTGCGTTGTGTAAACCAAATTCCCACTTCTGCTTGCCTTCCTGTGAGTATAAATGTCACTTGGAGATTATTTTGAATTAAAAACAAACAAAAGAGAGGACATATTGTTAGGCTGCAGGAAAATTTGAATTTGTGTGGGTTATCCATACTAAGAAGCCAATTCTCTTCTTTTTCTGTGACTCATTCATACCCAGGAGAATTTAGGAAAGAACTTGGAACCCATTGGTGTTCTTAGGAGAGGGCTTTGATCACCATACATTAAACTCAAGGCTTGATCTCATAATGGGGCTTTGTGTCACTGGATCTCCTGTAACACACACCGTTTAGATAAAACCAGAAGCTTCAGACCATGGAGGGAATCTGTGATGGACCTTTTTCCCATGCCAGCACTGCCTTACTTTCAAGAGGGGCAATGATGCTGTAGGAAGGAGCCACGTCATAGACTCATTCCAGGTATTGCAGGGTTCTTCTGTTACCCAAGGGGCTCAAAAAGGAGACATGTAGCAGCAGTTTCTGCACCACCAAATGTGAGAAGAGGCCTTTTTTATTCAGGTACATTCCTTGACTTCTAGGTTATTCAAGTAATGACAGATGGGCCCAACCCCCTAGCTGGTTCATTTTGTTATTAATTCCATTTTTCTGAGGTTTCAAAGACAATTCTTGGAGAAAATTTGGATCTTTCCCAGCCCACTTGATGTTTTACAGCTCAGTATGTCAACTGATTACATGAGAAAGTACTGAGTTGGATCCTATGAACAATGGACCTTCCCCTTCCCATAGCAGCCCTCTGTGACCCCCCCAGTCAGCTGGCATGGGGGGAATTCAATGAAAAGGGGCAGTCAGGTGAAATAATCTTTTCCACCTGCAGAACATCTTGTGCCAATAGGTAGGTAGAAGAGTGAAGAGTGTTAATTTTGCTATTCAAAAGGATCCAGCTCATTGCAGTGGAGGTGTTATGAGGTCACTAGGCAATAAATGAACAACTATAGTTTGTTTCAGAAGACTTGGTAAACCATGATTGCTGCTCCATGACCAGGCCTTAATGGAGCTTTCTCATTATTTATTTATTTAATTAATTATATTTATACCCCACACTCCCCATGAGCGGGCTCAGGGCGGCTTACAACAAGGCACAAAGTGCATACAATATAAATAGGTGAAACAGTTAAAATTCAGTTCAATCAGGATGCAAGAATAGAAAGATCCCAACGTCTTGCATACCAGAAGGGGAGGGCCAGGGCCGTAGATAGATGTTACTCAGCCCTCTGGCGGTATTGCTCTATAGTGGAGCAGTGGTGGTAGTGGCAGTGGCGGCTCCTACTCGAAAGCCTGGTGAAAGAGCTCTGTCTTACAGGCCCTGCGGAACTGCAAAAGGTCCCACAGGGCCCTGATCTCCTCCGGGAGCTCATTCCACCAGATAGGAGCTGCCACTGAAAAGGACCTGGCCCTCGTTGCTGCAAGCCTGGCCTCCTTGGGGCCTGGGGTCACCAACTGGTGTTGTGACCCCGACCGAAGTGCTCTTTGGGGCATATGTGGGAAAATGCTGTCCCTCAGGTATGTCGGACCCTGGCCATGTAGGGCTTTAAAGGTAAGTACCAGCACTTTGAAGCGAATCCAGTATGCTATAGGCAGCCAGTGCGGCGCTTTCAGTAGAGGTCAGGTGTGCTCTCACCTAGGGGCGCCCACCAACAGCCTGGCCGCAGCATTCTGCACCAGCTGCAGCTTCCGGATTTGCCACAAAGGCAGCCCCATGTAGAGAGCGTTACAGTAGTCTAGCCTCGAGGTGACGGTCACATGGATCGCTGTAGCTAGGTCATTGCGGTCGAGGAAAGGAACCAGCTGCCGTACCAGCTGAAGATGATAAAAGGCTGATATGGCAGTGGCTGCCACCTGGGCCTCCATCGTTAAGGTGGGGTCCAGGAGCACTTCCAGACTCC